AGGTTGCTTGTGTTTGCGTGAGAATGTACATGACCATGTCTGTTTGAGCCCAAGTCTGGGGCAACCGTGTGTGTGTGTGTGTGTGTGTGTGTGTGTGTGTGTGTGTAAATCAGTGTCTATCTGATCACAGTTGAAGAGCGTGTCCTTGTTGGGTTTGTGTTCATGCCTAACAGTGTCAGCCTATGTGAGGCTGTGAGAATGTGTCTGTGTGATAGCAAGGCTGTATGTGGAATTGTCTGAATGTGTCAGTGGGTGTGCATATCTGTCACTGTGGTGTCAGAGAGGTAGTATTCCCGGTATAAGAGCAATCTCTCAGCCAGTGTCTGTGTAGCATGTGCACACGCATGCGTGTGCACACACACACACACACACTTCTGCTTATTTGGAATTGGGCTCTGTGGGGGGAAAATATGAAACCTCAGCAGCTGCCTTCCCTGGGCCTGTGGGGAATGAGGGATGGGGGAGAGGTTGGAGGTTGGAACAATGTGCTCCCCTTAACCCCCATGCCCTGCCAGGAAGGCTCAGGGAGGGGCTGGCCCCGGGGGATCAGGAGAACTGGCTTCACTCCTTCCAGTCCCCAAAGGGACCAGGGCAGAGGAAAAGGGCCCACACTCTGAGGACTAATTCACTTCACCCTGCCCCTGCCACCCCTGCTTCAATAGGAACACAGACTGCAAGGAAACTGAGGCCCTGAGAGGAGACACACCTGTCCCAGCCCAGGTCTCAGAGCAGAGCTGGGTCTTGAACTGGGGACTCTGGACTTTGAATCCAGTGTCTTTTCCCCTTCACAGGATAGCCTTAGAGTCTCTAGGAAGGCAAGTCCTGGGTCTCTTAGGACCCCCAAATACTAGATGGGGATGCTTAAGGACAGGGAAGGTCTACTGACAACTGGAGACCCAGGGGCCCTCCCTCCTCCCCTGCCTGCTCTCTCTTGACCCTACGCCCACTCTGGGCACAGCAGTGACTCAGACTGGTAGCCCTTCAGCTTGAAATGGGGGCAATTTTCTAGTGACCACGAGGCAAGTAACCGTCCGGGAATGTATGGGTCAGTGTGTGTTGCAGGGGGGAGGTCCTGTGGGCCCGGCCTGTGGGGAAAAGAAAGGGGGAAATGTGAGAGGACTCTCCTCCCATCTCTTCCCAGAGCTCGCTCTCTCGGAAGGAATGTCCGGGCTCAGGATTCCCCCCACCCCTTATCCCACAGCTCAGCCTGGACCCACTCCGGTCTCCTCCTCCTTCCCCCAAGCACAGACTGAACCAGCCTGGGCCGGGGGAGGGGCAGAAGCCGGGAAGGGGGCGCAGGCGCCGAGGATCCCGGGGCCTGAGGGAAGGGGTGCGCTGAGGCCGCTGCAGAGAGGAGACCCTTTCCCACAACCACCATGCCAGCAGGCCGCGGCGCCCCGGAGCTTTCCTCTTTCCGCACTGACCCCAGCGAAGGACTTAGGGAGGGGGACAAAGGGGATCCTGAGCCGGTCCTGTCACCGTCCCAGGAGTGTCCCCGCTGCACCCTCAAGGCGCCCGCTACAGGATTATTCGAGGAGGGCGAGCGGGAAGGAGCCGAGCGGGAAGAGCCGAAGGGGGCGTAAGAACTGGGGCCCGGCCCGCCCTTTGAGTCGGGAAGCTCGGAGGAGACCCTCCCTCTCCACTCCCCTGCTCCAGGGCGGGACCCAGCTACTGATAACAGTCTTAGGACACCGCGGGACTGCGGAGCCATTTCAGTCGCTGCCCCAGACACAGCAAGGGCCACGGTCCGGACCCTCCTCCGCGCGAGCGCGGCGCTCCTCGGGCGCCCTCCCCGCTGCGGCGGGCGGCTGCTCGCAGCCTCCTCCCATTGGCCAGGAGCTCTGCAGCTTCCACCAATGAGCAGGCCTCTTTCCAGCGCGGGGCGGCCCCAAGCCCCCCGTTAACCATTTGTGGGCCGCGCTGGGCGCGCAGCACCCGGATCCTTCTCTGAAATTTAAAGGGTGGGAAGCTGAGGCCGAGCTCCAATAGGTGGTGCAGCCGAAAGGAGGGGTACAGGGGTCTGTGAGCTGTAGAACTTGGGGACCCCTCCTCCAAGAGAGTAGAGCTGCCGGCGGCTGCGCGTGGCAGCCGAGAAAGAGCTTATATTGGCAGGACTGTAGGAAAAAGTCTTTAACGAGGAGGGAAACAAATCATAATGTTTCCTTCTCTGGCTTCCCACCCCTATTGCCTGGAAAGGCGTCCCCGCAGAACGCTCACCCCCAGTAGAACCCTACCCCCTCAGAACCTTGGCACATGACCCCTGCCGTTTGCAGACTCCAGGTAGCAGCCCTCCCCCCTCCCCGCCCCTATTTGCATCGGACAATCTAAACCTGCACTTTTTGTCTGTGAACTGAAGGGTGGGCTGGGTGTAGTGGGGTGGAGAGTGGACAAAAGACCGTGCTGGGGCCGGGCGCGGTGGCTCACGCCTGTAATCCTAGCACTCTGGGAGGCCGAGGCGGGTGGATTGCTCAAGGTCAGGAGTTCAAAACCAGCCTGAGCAAGAGCGAGACCCCGTCTCTACTATAAATAGAAAGAAATTAATTGGCCAACTAATATATACATATATATATATATATATATATATAAATCAGCTGGGCATGGTGGCTCGTGCCTGTAGTCCCAGCTACTCGGGAGGCTGAGGCAAGAGGATCGCTTGAGCCCAGGAGTTTGAGGTTGCTGTGAGCTAGGCTGACGCCATGGCACTCACTCTAGCCTAGGCAAGAAAGCGAGACTGTCTCAAAAAAAAAAAAAAAAAAAGACTGTGCTGGGCCTGGTCTGAGGGCTCCAGAGTGGGCTTTCTGGGGCTGCGGGGAGGTGGGTACAGAGAAAGAAGTGAGAGGACAACAAGAGAGTACCGCCCACCCCAGTGCAGCCCCAGAGCTAAGGAGAACCCCGCCCTCGACATCACCAACTCACATTGTGACCCCGGGTAGATGGCTTTCCCTCTCTGGACCTGAGTTTTCTCATTAGCAAATGGGAGTAGGGGGAAGGACCATAAGCTTCCTCAGGTCCCTTGTCCTCTAAATTGATAATATACACTAACCATAATGGAGCCGCTGTGAGAGGCCAGGCGTCAGATGGAAGTGGGGCTACAAAGCTCTCTAAGCTAAGTCCCCGATTGCAGTGCTCCCATGAAGGGGAGGTGGGCCTCGGGCTGAGGGACGTTCCCACCGTCTACTGGCACCGGAGGAAGCCCTGAGCAAGACGGACCCGGAGCGTCTGAGTGTCCTCCACCCCCACCCTGCCTGCCCCTTGGCCGCCCTCCCCTTCCACTTGGCTCCTGCTGCTCTGGAAGCTCCATCCTACTGGGCTTTGGCTGCTGTTTCTAGCAGGTGGGGTGGGGGCTGCTCACAGAAGGGGGCCAGCTGAGCTCCCTTAGCAGATTCCTGTGGGCATCCTAGAAGGGTCTCTGAGAAGAACCCAATTCATCTGCCTGGAGCCAAGGCCTTCAGGAACCCCAGCCCAGCCGGGAGGAAGCATCTCTCCTCTCCCAGGCCCCTGGAAGGGGCTTGGCAAACCCTTATCGCCTGAGAAGCAGCTGCTGGAGAAATACCTTAGCAGCTGACTCACGGGGCTCCCCTCCCTCTCCTCACAACCCCCTCCCACTGGGCCCCACACCAGGCCTTTGAGAGACCCTGAGGGAGAGGGCTGGGTGGAAGCGCCCCCAGCTGGGCCAAAGGGAGCTCTGCGAGGGTGTGGCTAGCAGAGCGCCGGTTGTGGAGGGGGGGATTTATACCCTGCAAATGGCTTCTATCTGGGATCACAGTTATTCTTAGAGACTCGTTCAGCAGAGGCCTCTGACCTCCTGGTTCTGCCTCACCCCTGGCTCTGATGGGCGGTTGATATACTGACAGCATTGCCCTCTGGGGTACAAGGCCCTGTCCCTCCTCCACCAATATTTTTGAGTGTCTGTCGTGAGCCAGGGCTGAGATCCAGCAGGTGAACAAGATTCAGACCCTGCCTCAGGGAGTGTACAGTCTGGCAACAGGCAACTAGCACGCAAGGGAATGTCGGCTGCAGTTGGGGAAGGACTGGGCAGTGAGGGATGGTGGATGCCTCTCTGCTCTGTTTGGCTCCCTGGGCCTCAGTTTCCCTATGTATTGAGTGCAGATATGCAACTTCATTATCTCATTGGGTAGTTGTGAAGATTACATGAAATGATGCATGTGAGAGCACTGTACAAGGTTCAAATCACAACAAAAATGTAGGATGATGGTTATGATTTATGGCAAACTGGGAAATGGGGAGAGTACCTGAGTCAATGGAGTTCTGACCTCATTTTGTCCTGGATTCTCTGAGCAAGCTTTGGAGGGAGAGAACAAACCAACAACCCCATTGTTTCCAACCTCGGCTCAGGCCCAGAGCTTAGGGGCTGCGGTGTTTGTAATAACAATCGCTAACTATGCACTAGGCACTGTTGTGTTTCATACGTACAGTATTTACTCATTTATCCTCATAAGCCTATGAGGTGAGTACCATGCATCTAACAAACAGTTGATCCTCATGACAACACTATGAGGTAGGATTTGTTATTTCCCCCTTACGGATGAGGAAACTGAGGCACAGAGAAGTTAAGTAACTCAACAGATAATGAAGCTAGGAGTTGAAAGCAATCTATGTGACTCCTGAGCTTATGCTCATTTCCTCCTCCATGTGACAGACTCATGTGGCCCCAAACCTTATTTTCAGATAGAAGACTTCTCTGCTCGCCCCGTCTAGATTGGAACAGGTCCTAAGATTCCAGGCCAGAAAGGGCTAACAACTCTAGACCCTGAGCCAATCCCCGAAGCCAGTCCTTAATCACTCACCAGGTGGGCCTCCAGGGCCTAAAGCAACCCCCATCCCACCCCATCTCTTCCAGCTCACCAGCAAACTCAGTCATTCAATAAATAGTGAATGAACAATGATCACATTTCTTTACACATTTATAATTCTTCAGAGGGAAAAAATAACTTACAATTACTCTACGTCAGCTACTGGGGTGCTTTATTAATGATAAGCAATGATGTTTGTTGAATAATTACTATGGGCCAGGGACTGTTCTAAGTGCTTTACATGCATAACTTGTTTAATCCTCACAACAATCTTAGCAGATAGGAACTGTTATCAGCTCCACTGTAGAGAAGAGGGAATGCAACAGAGAAGTTCACTTTCCCAGGATCATGGAAACCAAGATTTTTCAGACTTTTTCGTTTCTAGGAAATATATGTTACTTTATTCCCAAGTACACACATGCGTGTGCACACATACACAGAACTGAGATAAAAAAATTCACCGGCTATTTAACTTCACTATGTGCGGTACACTCTGATATTTTCTACTCGATTTTCTTCTGTTTTATTTTTACTTAAATTCTGGTCATGACCCACTAAATTGATTTCACAACCCATTAATGAGTCACCACCCACAGTTTGAACAGCACTGAGTCATAGCCAGAATTATCAAGGCCAGGATTCGAACCTAAGTAACGTGGCTCCACAGCCTAATCTCTCTGTATAAAGAACAGCTCAGGAAGGGGAGACACTGTAGGCATGAGGACAGATGGGGACTGCGCTGATGAGGGGGCTGAGGCCTCACGAATCCCACTACCCTGCCTCACTCCCTCCCCACATCCCAGCAAAAGATAACACAAAAGTCACTTGTGTTGCCTTTGGAATAAACGTGCTGGCACAGACACACCATTGTTCTTTTACTTGGACTTCAGTCTATGAAGGAAGTAGAGACAGACTCAAGCAGTTTAAGTGATTTAGCCAACGGCACAGAGCTCAGGGTCCTGTTGCCTGCTCCAGGGGGTGTGACCCCATCCACAGCTCACCCTTGAGGGTACCAATGGTGACGGTGGAGATGGTGGGGAGGAAATGTGATGATGGTGGTGACGGCAGTGACAGAAATGAGAAGAGCTGGTGTTGGTGGCCTTGGTGGTGAGGAGGTTGGTGATGAGAGTGGTGGTATAAATGGTGGTGGGGACCGTGATGGGAGGTCACAGGGACAGTGGTGGTGGTGGCAGGGGTGGGGTACCACCGCAGCTGCATCTCACTCCCTTCCCAAGCTAAGCTGACTCCCCTCTTTCCCTCCCTCTTCCCCCCAGCACTTTCCCGAGCACCTGGACCACTTTGCGGAAAACATGGAGGACTTCTCCAACGACCTGTTCAGCAGTTTCTTTGATGACCCTGTGCTGGATGAGAAGAGCCCTCTGCTGGACATGGAACTGGACTCCCCTATGCCAGGCATCCAGGCTGAGCACAGCTACTCCCTGAGCGGCGACTCGGCACCTCAGAGCCCCCTTGCGCCCATCAAGATGGAGGACACCACCCAAGGTAAGTGGCCAGAGGGCCCAGGGACAGCACAGGCCCAGGAGGGGGGAAGCTTGGAAGCCACCCACAAATCCCGCTCAGAGGGTGCTGCTCGTGCCTTTCTGCTCTCCCTCAAATCAAACCCACATGGGCCCTTCTCCAAAGGGTTTCTTTTCTTTTTTCTTTTTTTTTTGAGACAGAGTCTCACTTTGTTGCCCAAGCTAGAGTGAGTGCCACAGCATCAGCCTAGCTCACAGCAACCTCAAACTCCTGGACTTAAGCAATCCTGCTGCCTCAGCCTCCTGAGTAGCTGGGACTACAGGCATGCGCCACCATGCCCGGCTAATTTTTTCTGTATATATTTTTTTAGTTAGCCAATTAATTTCTTTCTATTTTTAGTAGAGACAGGGTCTCGCTCTTGCTCAGGCTGGTTTCCAACTCTTGACCTTGAGCGATCCACCCGCCTCAGCCTCCCAGAGTGCTAGGATTACAGGCGTGAGCCACTGCGCCCAGCCTCCAAAGGGTTTCTTAACCGCTGGCTTAGGGCAGTGGTTCACAAAGCGTGCTTCCTGCACCAGCTGCATTGCTGGGCACTTGCTAGGAATGCATATTCTCAGGTCTCACCCCAGACCTGCTAAATCAGAACCCTGCTGGTAGGCCCAGCCTTCTAGGCGATTCTGACACAGGCTCAGATTTGAGAACAACTGACTCAGAAGAAACAGTGGGGGAGGGGGCCTAAATAACAAATGTGGACAAGTTACAAAGACTCAAGAATCTTACCACCTCCTCACACTGTGATTTCCTCCGAGATGCCACCTGGGAGAGATTCCTGTACCCACCTTTATTCCTGAACGTGGGGTTCTCTAAAGCTCCCCTCTCTTCCAACTCTGCCCTTTAAAGCAAAGGGCCCCTGATTCCTTCCTCTTAGGTAATAAGCATTCGAGACCACACCAGTCCCCACCTAGAAGTGGTCTCTGGGCATTTCCTCAAGTACAGGTGATCTTGGAGCCATCATTGTTGGTTAGGTGATCACAGACACAGCTCTTAACCTCTTTGAGTCTCAGTATTTTCATCTACAAATGAGGATAACAATAAACATTTCTATGGCACTCTCTAGTCTATAAATAGCCTTCATGTGAATTATCACACCTATTTCTCAAACCTGACAGGTAAGGTAGGAATCACTGATATCATAATCCCCATGTGACCAATAAGAAAACTGATACTTCACAAAAGCTGAGTTGTCTAGGTCACACACACAGTAGAAGGCACAACAGCAACATAAGACCAAGCCCCCTGATTCTCAGCAGCACAACCTGCCACCACCACGATGGCCAGCTTCAAGGGGCATTTGGGCTATTGGGTTAGGAACCCAACCAGGCTTTGGTGTGCATCCACTAGCAGCTGGGTGGTCTTGGGCAAGTTGCTTAACCTCTCTGGGCCTCTGTTTCCTCAATTATAAAATGAACACAATATGTATCTTAAGAGTTCTGGTCAGGGCCGGGCGCGGTGGCTCACGCCTGTAATCCTAGCACTCTGGGAGGCTGAGGCGGGCGGATTGCTCAAGGTCAGGAGTTCGAAACCAGCCTGAGCAAGAGCGAGACCCTGTCTCTACTATAATAAAGAAATTAATTGGCCAATAATATTATAAAAAAATTAGCCGGGCATGGTGGCGCATGCAGTAGTCCCAGCTACTTGGGAGGCTGAGGCAGCAGGATTGTTTGAGCCAGGAGTTTGAGGTTGCTGTGAGCTAGGCTGACGCCACAGCACTCACTCTAGCCTAGGCGACAAGCAAGACTCTGTCTCAAAAAAAAAAAAAAGAGTTCTGGTCAGGATTAAAAATAATATATGTAAATACCCAGCTCCGTGCCAGCACATGATATATGTCCATAATTATTGGCTATTTTCATTGTGTACATAAAACTCCTATTAATACTACAGATGACAACAACAATGAACACATTATTCCTCTTTCCCTCCAGAGGACAATGGTCTTGAGTGAGTGTCTTAATTTTCTCATCTATTAAATGGGGAGAAAGACAGGACCTCCCCGATAGCGTTGTTTGGAGGAACAAATGAGCTTTTTGTGCAAGGGCTTTGCTGTGCTCAGCGCAAGACGCAAGATGTGTGATCTGCTTCTGAGGGTCTTGAGATCCCAGGGCAAAGACAGGCCTTTGTACCTTCACCTTCCCCATGGGGGCAGGGACACCTGGGAGTTAATGGCTGCCAAGGTCCCAGCTTCCCACCATGCCCTGGCTACAGTCAAGTGTCTGAAGGCCCAGGCCGGGAAGGGCAGGGTGGGGGTAGACCTTGTGTTGCAGGTTCTCTGTCCATCCCTGCTGCTCAGCAACTCCTTGGCCACCCCAAGTCTATTTTAAAGCAATTTGTCTGTGGCCCTTTGCAGGGGCAGCTTCCCGAGGCCAGCTGCCGTGGCCCTGTAATTTGGGAAGATTGTGGTATTCCTGGAGCCCAGGGCAGCCTGTGGCCCAGAGCTGGGCATTCGGCTCCCAGCTGGGTGGGGCCTGCCTCTGAGGTGGGATCGGCAGCCGCTTGACCCCTTCCCCACCACAGAGGGCCCTCCAACCTTGCCCTGCATGCTGGCTCCCGCAGTCTGTCTTCCTGCGCTTCTCTGCTGCCAGGCACTGGGACCCCGTGAGCAGGGCTGACTTGGGTGGAGGATGTGGGCGCCCATCAGGAAAAGGGGTGATACTCCAGCCCTGCTGCCCAGGTGAGGCCAGGAGGCCCATTGTGTGGACAGGAGGTGGACTCTGCTCGCAGCAAACCTGAACCTCACCTCCTACTCCTCCCCTCCCACCCCCTACATGCCCCCAGTCACCAGGTCCTGTGGACGCTTCCTTTTAAATTGTCTCTAGTGGGCCGGGCGCAGTGGCTCACGCATGTAATCCTAGCACTCTGGGAGGCCGAGGCGGGCGGATTGCTCGAGGTCAGGAGTTCGAAACCACCTGAACAAGAGCGAGACCCCGTCTCTACCATAAAGAAGAATTAATTGGTCACTAATATATATAGAAAAATAGCCGGGCATGGTGGCACATGCCTGCAGTCCCAGCCACTCAGGAGGCTGAGGCACAGGATTGCTTGGCCCAGGATTTGAGGTCGCTGTGAGCTAGGCTGACACCATGGCCACTCACTCTAGCCGGGCAACAAAGCAACTCTATCTCAAAAAATAAAAAAATAAATAAATGTCTCTAGTAAGTTCCTCCTCTCTATGGAACTGCCCTGCCTTAAGCTCATCTTCTCATGTCCTGACTATTTCAACACTCCTACAGGTCTCCCTGCCTCCATCTTGCTGCAGCCAGTCCAGTCCCACTCGAGGACAGAGCGATCTTTTTTAAAATTATAAATGTGAGGATGCCAGCACTCTTCAGGGCTCCCCATCACCTCTAGGGTGAAGTCACAGCCTCCAGCCTCCAAAGCTGAGCCCCCCACCACCCCTCTGACCCCATCTTCCACTTCCCTTGGCATTCCAACTACACTAACCTGCTTGGTGACTCTTGCTAGATCCAGCACCTGGACATGCTCAGCAATGTTCCTGAATAACAATATTGTATTAACAATAGCTACCACTTATTGAACATTCACTTCCCATCAGGCACTGTGTTAAGTGTCTTATGTGCACGATACAATTTACTTTTCAAAATCCTCATTCACCATGTCCCATTCCTTTCCCCATTTTACAGATGAAGATGCTAAGGCTCAGAAAGGTTAAGCAACTTGCCTAAAGTCACACAGTCAATCAAGAGAGGTCCAGGTCTGGTTTCCAAGCCCATTCTGTAAGCTGCTGAATGAAGAGAATGCCCCGTCTCTTCTGGGTTAGCCACCCCACCTGTCCCCCGCAAGTGTTCCCAATCCCAACTTTCTACCTATCTCCTGTGTATCTAGCATCTCCAATCCTGTCCAGAGCAGATTCCAGGACCAGAGTGGGGCTGAGCCATCCACCCTGGGAGTCCCAAACCTGAGTCCTGCCCCTTCCCCAGATTGGAACATGGAGCATGGGCGCTGGACACAAACTGTGCTCCATCATGGTGAAGCAGGAGCAGAGCCGGAGCTGTCCGTGGATCCTCTGGCCACCTCCTCAGCCATGGTGCTGCTGCCGCCATGGCCACCCCCGCTGCTGGGCTCAGTCCCTGTCCAGGCTGCCCATCCCCCACCAGGTGAGCCTGGGACTATTCGTAGGCACTGAGGGAGGGGGAGGCTGAGGGTCTGTGGGAAGAGCAATCCGAGCCCTGTGCTCCCAGAGCTCTGTGAACAGGGGGTGATGTGAACCTCAGGACTTGAGGTGGGACTCCAGCCAGGCCTCTGCTACCCTGCTGCCTGCCT